TGGGCAAAGGAAGGAGAATTCAGTGTCCTGAGGGGAGCTTGGGTGAGGCCATGGGAGTAACATGACCTTGTCTTTGTGTTTTTGTTTTGTTTCTTAGATTCAAGCAACTGGGGCCATCCTAGGACTTGGGAGGTACAGAGAGGTAGATGAGAAGTTCAAGGTCAATATTGGCTATGCAGGGAGTTTGAGCCCAACCTGGACTACTTAAAACCTCCTCTTCAGCCAAACAAGCTAACTAATCATACTAACCAAGCAAAAAACAAACACCTTCTCCTCAAATCAGACTAACAGTAACTGTCTCACTGTTCGTCCATGGAGGTAGACTTAAATTATTAGTGTGTACAAATTACTGCCCAGAAAGATTTTCACTTAACTCTGCCCTTAAATTATTCATAAGAAGTGACAGTTGGGAAATCTACTGTACCCTGTCCCAGAAGTAAAAGGTCCCTGAGGGTCGCCTGGGAGATTTGGGTGGTAATGTGATAAGGGACACAATGCACTGTTCTCTTCCATCCCCCAGTTCAAGCTGTCTACTGCTGTGTGTGCCACCTGCCCCCTTTGTCTCTGTTCTGAAGCCTTCAGATTGACTCTCTGTTGCTGTCCAGGGTGACCAAGCACACCCACCCACTCAGCAACCCTGCACTGTTCTCCGTTGGTTGGTGTTGGTGTCTCCTCTCCTCTCTTCCCTCCTTGCTTCAACAGAGCAGATGAGACACACATGGAAATTAGAAGTCACTTAGAAGCCAAAAGAACTCATGGCACTTGAAATGAATTCCTCCTCTTAGCTGGCATTTTCCACAGATGGCAAGTAGGATGATTTCATGCCTGATTAGAGGAGGGGTTTGTTTCATAGTGTACACTGCCATGCTTAGCAATTTTTATTACATGGAGAACTTAACATTGACTCCCTTTCATTTTAAGAATGCTGGTATATAATTGATACACGAAAAGCAAAAGGCTTCTAAATGTATCCACTCTACCCCATTGACTCTTGGTAAAAAAAATAAATATGTTTAAATTCATGGGTGTTGACTCAGGAAGATGGTTGTAGAACTTTCCCTAGTAATATGTTTTGGTGCCTATCAGTTTTTATAGATAACTTTATTTTTTAAATTATCCCTGAAATAGTACATTTTCTTTTAGTTTTGTTAATGGTGATTGGCAAGTGACCCAAAAGGGGCAAGACTTACTATAAAAGAGGCCATCAGTCATCAGCTTGAAACAGATCCATCCTGGTGTCATTCTACCAGGCATCTGACCTTTGGGCTTCAGTCACACAAGTAAAAGACAAGCGGGCTTGAGGGAGGCAGCTGTGACAAAGCCCGTGTATCAAAGCAATGCATTTCATTCTGCGAGGCCTCACAGACTCCCTGTAAACATATAATTTCAGCGAGCTTGTTTATCTGCTTTCCCCATGCCTGAGGCACAGCCACAGCAGAGTGGTAGGGAGCAGTATTGGCACACACAATGACGGCAGACCTTGCAGTGTGGCAGCCTGTTGGCAGGGGGGTACATGGGAAGACCCAGCACAGTAAGGAGAAGAATCAAATATGTTCAGCAGGGCTGTTTAAAAGGTCTGAGAGAGGGATATGTTCTCATAGCTTTTCACGGAGGTGAGGGGTCAGGGTGGGGGTGGGGAATGGTTAAATTATAACATTTTTGCAATGCTGAAGATTCTGACTGAAGTTATTTGAGAAAACCAATGATATTCTAAAGGTACCCTACTCCTCAATAGCAATATTATCATGATTACTGTGCTACGTGTGCGAGGTGCCTAGTATAGTCCATTGATTAAGGGGTGTGTTCTTTGCAGTTGCTAAATGAATGTAATGTAATTTGAATGAGTGTGGTAGCTTCTGAGGCAGCTCACTTAGGTTCTTCTAAGATAACTGGAACCTACATGGAGCATGGATAAAGCTAACTGTGACCTCCAGGGCTGATTAGAACCATTGTATTTGCTGTTGGCTAATAGCAAGTTTGATCCAATTGTTAAATGAATGTTTGTGATTTTCTTTGTATTAGCAAATATTCAATCATTTAGGCCAGTGGTTCTCAACCTTCCTAATGCTATGACTCTTTAATACAGTTCCTCGTGTTGTGGTGACCCCAATCATAAAATTATTTTGTTGCTGCTTCATAACTGTTATTTTGCTACTGTTATGAATCGTACTGTAAATATCTGATGTGCAGTATATCTTGACCCAAAAGGTCAAGATCCATAAGTTGAAAACCACTGATCTAAGCCATAGATTAGTCAGTACATGGAGGATTGGTTAATCTATTCTGTTTTGTGGTTTGTAGGAACAGTTTCTAGAAATCCAGTTTATTAGTGTGCCTACATTTGGCATAAAATTGTTTTTTTTTCAAGCTGTTTTATATAAATACAAACAACTTTAAGGGACAGTCTTGAGTCTTGGCTCTCATAGGCCGGTTCTTTCTCTTGGTAGTGAGTTTTCTCCTTGCCCCTCTGTTTGGTTCTTGCTAGATGTGTGCAAAGTTGGGGATATATGAGGAGTATATACTATCACTGGACTGGGTACACTGAGACTGCACACACTCCAAGAGGCCTGTTGAGGATTCAGCTGTATCAGGTGTATAAGGGTTATCAGGGACAGCAAGGGATTCATTATGAAGCTTAGATACCTTTAAGCTACAAATGCAACTATAAATAAGATGTAGACAGCAAGTTGGAGAGAATTGTGCACATTGTTTGGGGCTCATGCATTCTTAGAGGGCAGAAGTACATTTTGGGGAACGGTCTCACTGAAGCTCTGTCATGCTAAACAGCATCGAGGGCTCTTCCACATTTTCTGAGGTGCTTTTAAAAATTCCTCACTTTTGTACCTTTAGTTCTTTTTACTTCTTGTTTTCTGGAGACTGGATGCCACATAGCCCATGCTGGCTGCTATACATATAGTGGCAGATGGTCCTCTGCCTTCGCCTCCTCAGTACTAGGAGGATGGGTGTGTACCACTGTGGCTGACAGCTTTGTCATCTCTGTACTGGTAATAATGGTCAGCATAAACACATCATTGAAAATTAAGAGCACACTCAGTAGACATGAACTTCTGACCCAGTGGTGTCTGATATGTAACCTGCTCCCCATCTCTGACCACTGCTCCAGCATGGGGTATGTGTGGGCTTGAGTTTCTCTGTCTGTAACTTGAGGGATTTAAGCAACATGGTCTCTTGAGAACCCTTTAGCTTTTCTGACCTCATCAGTGCTAAGGACTGTTTCCTCAGTTGGCTCTTCAGTCCCAATCTCTTCTTGTGTAGCATGAGAATCAACTGTCCTAGGGACGCTTTGCTCTGTATCTTCTTCAGTGAACATCCCAGGCCTGGTATGCTAGGACCCTTTCTTTCAGTCTTAAGGAGTTGTGACACAAAGCTTACCTTTAGAACTTTTTGTTTTCAGGAACAGGGTTTCCCTGTGTAGTTCTGGCTGTCTTGGAACTCACAGTGTAGACCAGGCTGGCCTTGAACTAGGAGATAGATCCTCCTGCCTCTACCTGCTGTGAGCTGGGATCAAAGGCATTTACTTCTGCCCAGCTGCTTTTAGAACCTTTAATTAGTTTAATTTGCAGTAAACTTATTAGTGTTTGTATGACTGATTCTTTGCTTGTTGCTGTCTGCTTCACTCCTGAGTTTCACTCTGGAGCCAGGGGATGCTGCTGTTTGGGACCAGGGCACCCCAAGAAACTAGGGGAGGTGCTACACAGCAATGCATTGCAAGGTAGGATTTCTAGGTGCTTTGCTTTAACCAGCAGCTGATTGCTTTAGTATTGTGATTTTGTTGTTGTTTTTCCCCAACAGAGAGGATTCTCTCTGATTGAGTGGCCTTTCAAAGGCCAAGGAGGATTGCCTCCTGGGGCCAACCTGAAGAGGTTTGTGCTTGGCCCTATATTCTGCCTGCAGGTGGCAGGAGGGGAGGCAGGAACAGGTGCAAACATAGCTGCATTTCACCTTTGCTGAAAGCAGGAAGTGAAGTGAAACTGCTTACCTTGTCCTACTTGATCGTGGCATTCCTTAACCCGTGTTCCTCAGCCCCCACCCTCGGAATGCTGGACTAGAAACCGCATTAAAAGCGCTTCTGGTGATCACACTTTCAGAAGTCGGTCCAGTAATCGGCAATCAAATTCTTTTTGTGATCTGCAGAGAGGTGTCCACATTCTGCACAGGCTTGCTTTTCTATCGCTTTGCAGGAGTTCAGAAGTTTGAGCTACCACTAAGTATGGTCTGTGGAGGGGCGGGGCTCTCTGTCTCCAATGAGGTGCCTTCAGTGTCGGGCAAGCCTATCATCTTTCGCAGGAGTGCTTACTCTGTAATCCAAGCGATAGCCACGCAGCCTGTTTTATTGTTTGTGGAGTCCTGCGGCTAGGAGTGTTTCCCAGACAGGAAGGAGGGCAAGTGGGCGGTTTATGATTCTACCCAGTGCCGGGACAACAGAGCCGAACCCTTTGATTTCTCCTGAGTAACCTGTGTGGGTGAACTTTAAACTGGGGGCCTGCTTGACGCTGGATCTTTTTCTGCAGGGTGAGGAGTTAGCTCCAGAAGCTTGGCTTTCTGCCTTCAGAAGGAAAGATGCCCCGGAGAGGCGTAGGATTACATTTAGGGATGCTAGCCATACAGCCAAGAGTCGGGGTACCTTGGCTCTTCTTCGCAAAGTCTTGGCAAGTGTGTCTGAAATGACTATACTGTTTGTTTTCCTAAAGCTTGTACTCCTATTTATTTTTATTATTTTTATTTTTGCTTGTGGACCTCCCGCCAGAAATTGGTGCTACAATGTGGCTAGAGTAAACCATTTTTTAAAAAATTATCTTTAATCCTTCATTTTCCTTTTAATCGGGCAAGCAGAAGCACAAAGCCTGCCCGGCTCTCAGCGTTGTCTGGATAAGTGGGAAGGGGCAGGCCCCTTTCAAGGATCCAGGCCAATTCTAAAAAGCCAGCATTTTGTTTGTTGGGTTGCCCTTTGTCTCTAGAGGATTTTGATGTGAAAGAAGATGAAAAAGGAAGGCTCCTCAGGTTCCTTCAGAATCAAGGCAAACCCAGGCTCCCTCTCACGTGCTGTGAGTTGGATAAATTTCTCCTCCCTGTCCAGGCAGACAAAGAGGCTGTTTCGCAGTGATGGAGAGCTGTCGGCTTGTGGACAGCAGGTGGAAGCAGATGATGAGAACTGGATATACAGGACCCAGCCCAGAAAAGGTGACTTTATTTATTCTTAATTTAAACATCTTTTAAAAAAGTTTGCTCTGTAGAATTCTTTGTTTCTACCAGTGCTTTCCTGTCATGACCTTTCATGCTCCATCAGGAGTTTCTTATTTGGTTTTGTGCTGGAACTAAGCACCATTCATTTGTTTACACATCTAAAATAAAAACTTTTCTGCCAAGATCAAGCTTGAGACTGTGTAGCCTTCCAAGAAGGTTAAATGGCTGTTGTTTGCTGTAGGTGCTCTTCCCCCACCCCTTCTCTAATCCATGCTTTCCTATGACTTGGGTAAGTCACTAAGAAGGTATCACCCCAGATGGCATCGTCTGGTCTGGGACAAGTCATGAGCTCTTTGCTGTAACTGCTCTGAGGAAGCTTGGGGGTTTGTGGATGGTCTTTTTGCAGCTTTCTTCTGAGAAGATGAATGAGTGTGGTGAATGTGTGACTTAGACAGGTGTTGAGTAGAACATGGAGGAAAATGGACACAAGGGGTTTACCTTGGCCAAAAGAGTTTTGGATTTCTGTCAAGTTCCTTGTTGGACTAGCAGTGGTGTTTGTTCTCGGGATTAACATGTTAGACCCCCTGGAAGGTAAGGAAAGCTGTAGCCCTGCTGGAGGACAGGGTGCATTCTAGTGTTTTATAACATAACCTATTTTCTATATAGAATTTCTGACGTCTGCCTGTTAGGATGTCTGCTATAGGGACTGAATTGTCCAGCTCTGAAATGGTTTCTTCGTTGGATGTTGTCCAGAGTCCAGCAGGGAAGCACTCCTGTGTGTTACGAAGGAGCCTAGTCCAGACACTGCCCGAACTGTGTGTGAGCTGTTTACAGTGTGCTCTCTCTGCCAAGAGAAACCTTAATAGAACATCTCAGGAACCTATTCTTCCCTCTCTTTTGGGAACCCAAACTGCAGAAATGTGAGAATTAACTAGCCTGCATGCTCTGAGCACTCTGAGAATTAAAACACAGCCCTTCTACAAAGACAATGGATGCTAACACGAGTGTGTTTGTTTGTTGAACTGGCTGAGGAAGGGCTGGTTAATATCTTTTGAAAATGTCAGTTATTTATTGTATCAAGGGGTTGGTCAGCAATGGTCTACCCAAACTGAGCTTTAAATCCTGGCTTTTGAGTTCACACTGTACAATTGACAGCATCGAAATAGGCATTTACTTTTTGGATGAAGCTGGGTAGTTTACATCTGTGAACTACTTTTCTAAATCAGGAATAAGCTGTGGTTTTGCTAAGTGACTGGGCTGTAATGTTTGAACCAAACAAGTCTGTAGGGTGGACACCATGGTGCTGTGGTTACAAGGGGAGTACACTTTTGATTCGTTTTATTTAGCCTGTGCCAGAAGTTGCTTCTCAGAACTTACTTTGCTTTAAACCAACTGCCATCAGGTTTCTGTTGAAGAGTTTATACGTGTGAGCATGTGGCTTTTCTTAGGATTTTCTCTAAGTTAATGTAAGTTAACATTAAAGGGAGAGAGACTGAATTTGTATGCCTTAGGTTTAGTTGGGAGGTGGAGCAAATAGTGTATACTTGACTTGTAGAAAATAAAGAAGTCACTGTGAGGGGAAGGGCAAGTTCTAAAGGAAGGCAGGACTTGTTTATTTATAATATGTGCCTTTTATCCCTTCATGTACTAGGGCACTGTAGCCTCCTGTATCTAAGTGGGGGCTTACTACAGTGTGTGCATTTACAGGTTCTTAGAAATAATTGCCCCAGAATAAATATTATCATTTTGACATGTGGGGTTAGGGGAAATCCGTAAAAAGCTGCCTGTACATTACAAATCACAGAATTATTATATTGTTTCTATGTTTAGCTTACAAAAGAAAAATTGGCTCATATCCTTGACAGACTGTCTTAGGGGCATTCTCTAACAGTTGATCTTTATTCATCATAATCCTTTCCTTTGGAGAAATGTAGAAGTGACATTTGTTTATACTAGTAGATCAAAAGAGGAACCATCTTTAAGGAAAATCATGCAAGGTTTTGGTTTTTATTCTGATGAATAACCAAGCAGCTGAATCTGTATTACTTGGATTAGCAACCACTGCAGTGGGTGACCATTAAGATAGAGTCACAGATTAAACAGCACCTAAGACTTACAGGTATGATGGGACTTTGAGGTGACTTCCATCTCTAACTCCCAGAACATGAATAGACTTTTGATTGATAGATGTTTTTGAAAAACTTGTCCTTCTTTCCTCCTTCTCTGCCTTCATCTCTGACAGATGGAGGTGGGGCAGTAGTCAGTCAACCTTGCTTGTGCCCCTTGGGGTCTAGGGAGTCTGGCTCTGCAGGTACTTCTGCTCGTTCCGAGCTGCTTCAAGGACAGAGTGTCTGTTGTTTTTGCCTGTTGTTACCAGGTAACACTTCTTAAGAAGCACTGCCAACCCACTGGATCCTTGGTGGATAGTAAGTTTTATAACACATCCATTCATTTTGCAAAGTAGAAGACCTTTTTATGTGAGTCTGTAGTCCGGTCAGTAACAGTGACAATACAAGTTTTTACGAGCTTACTTTACATGGTTACTAAGGTAAAATAATAACTTAAGATTTCTTGGAAGATTCTATTTGTGAGATTAGAAATGACTAGTAGGTATCTTTCTACTACATGATCTTTAAAAAGTGGCTTGACATGGGGCTTAAAAAAGGATTCAGAGGTTAGGAATCTCTACTGCTCTGGCAGAGGACCTGAATTCCATTTATTTACTTATTTCTTGAGACAGAGTGTCTCTACATATAGCCCTTGCTGTCCTGGTACTCATTATGTAGACCAGCATGGCCTCGAACTCACAGAGATTTGCCTGCTTCCCCCCCTTACCCCCCCAAGTGCTAGGATTAAAATCTTGCATCACTGTGCCTGGCTTTGTATGCATGGTTACTTTTGAAGATATGTATCACTGCAAGCAAAAAGCCATAGCCTTTGACTTTGTTACTTACACTCCAGAAACTAAGATAAAAATAATAGCTTAAGATTTCTTGGAAGATTCTATTTGTGAGATTAGAAGTGACCAGTAGGTATCTTTCTACTATATGACCTTTAAACAGTTGCCTGATGTGGGGCCGAAGAAAGGTCTCAGAGGTTAGAAAACCCTACTGCTCTGACAGAGGACCTGAATTCCATTCCCATGACCTAGGTCAGGTGGCTTACAGCTGTCTGGATCTGACACTGTCTTGGGACTTTGGGGCCATCTGCACTCAAGTGCATACCTCTCCTTTCCCTATATACACATAACTGAAAAAAGAGAGGTTACCAAAGATTCATATAAATAGGTTTGGAGCAATCACCACTAAGTACTTTGTCTTATATTGTCACAGTGTCTATGAGTCCTGACATTTGTGCTTGGGGAAGTAAGACTGAGTGGTTAACACAGCCAGCTCTTTTGTTCTTGCTGGGATGTGACCCACTTCAGCATACTATGCTTCAACTTAATTATAAAAACCAGAATGTGAAAGCGCGAGGCAGTGAGTCAGAAGCAGTATCAATAGATGCCTGAGTGAGAGACAGTGAGACTGTAGGTGCACAGCAGGCTTCTGTGTAGCTACCTTTGCCTGGATGGGAAGGGGGCTCATGGGAGGAACTTTGCTTACTGCATTCTGTGTAGAGGACATGAAGATGCACAGGCCCTGCATTGTAGCCTTGATGTTTCTGCTTCTACCGAAAAGCACAGAAGGCATCTGAGGGACAGTTAAAAACACTAACTGTAGAAAAGTACAACATGAATAGCTTAGAGAAGGCCAGCAAAGGAACTTGTCTGAAATAACCTTTTAGTGTTTTCTGTGGTCTTCTCGCTGTAAGCATGGAATTAACCAGCGTTTAGTGAGTGATTCTTCACCAGAACCATGGAAGGCTCGCAGGGAAAACTAATGACCTGTCTCCATCCTGTGCTTTCCCTTTCCTGCTCACTGAAAGAAAACCAAATGAGGTGAGGTATTGGTGGCGTGTCCTCTCATTGCTCAGAGCACGTTTTGTTTCACCCAGCTCTCCTTTGGATGGGGGAGGCATGATTGATGATCTGGAACTGACAGATCTACAAATAGGGAGGCTAACTGATGGGCAAAGCCCTGGTTTTAAATAACATTTTTATTCTATCCATGTAGATTTTACCACCACCTGAACTTAGTAACATTATCAAATCCGACTTGTCTGTATTTCAGTGCTTGTAATTTCAAGTGTGAGGTTAGAGATACAGCTTCTTGTAGAATATATCCTAGGAGTGAGGCCCTGGGTTCAATTCCTAGCACCTCTTGCCCTACAACCCCCCCTTCCAACCCTACTCCCCCTCCCACCCCACCCCTCAAAAAGCCCCCAGAGGGCAGCCTTTGTAGGCATCAGGGATAATGAACAATTTGTATACTAGATAATTTTTTGCATGGAGGAGCTATATGTAAACTGTGTGTAGGAGCTATGTTTTCGTTTATCCCAGTATCCCTCCTTATAAGAGAGTAGCAGGAAACAGGCCCATTGTGCACAGTTGGATTACTAATGACCAGATGTTATAATGGGAAAAATGGTTTGCCATTTTCCTAATACAGCAGGTTTAAATTCTTGTTTTCATATTAGCAGCTGGGTTCTGTTCTTTTCTAATAGTAAAGCACATTTAAAATTATGAGACTCAGGAACAACACTGACGTTAAGAAAGGCTAAAAGGCATTGGTAAATATTGTTAAAGTAACATTCCAAATTGGTGCTTCAAACTAAACAAGCTTTATTTATTCTGAGGGTTACTCTATCAGGAAAGTGGTTAAATGGATTTTTATCTTAACAAATGAACGAAGACAAATGCTCTCAGCACATGCCGGCTTGTTTTCCTTCTGAAATTCCTATGGAAGTTGACGTTCTGTGAAAGAGACAGAGAGTGCTACTTAATATTTTACTGGTTCAGCTGAGACTACCCTTTCTTGGTCTTTGACTATTTCTTTTTCCTTTTAAGTTGGCAGTTTCAGTTGCCTCTGTAACTTGTTTTATTGTAAAAATGACCT